AACCTAAAGATATGGAGAAAAACCAAACCCTAGTGTGATCTTGTTGTGATTGAATTGACATGAGATGATAGAGGGATCTTAGGGGGAAAAGTTGGGGGTACAACAATGTTTCGTAGGGAATTTCTGAGGAAGTATTTCCCTGAAGACATTCGCGGTAAGAAGGAAATTAAGTTTATTGAGGTGAAGCAATGAAGTATGTCGGTTGTTGAATATGCTGCAAAGTTTGATGGGTTGGCTATGTTTTATCTGCACTATAGCGAGGCAAATGCTGAGTTTTCAAAGTGCATCAAGTTTGAGAATGGGTTGCGCCCAGAGATCAAGAAGGCAGTTGGATACCAGAAGATTCGTGTCTTTGCTAATTTGATTGATAGTTGGAGGATCTATGAAGAAGATAATAATGCTCATTATATGATTATCAATAAGAAGAGGGGTAAGCACCAACAGAACCGTGGTAAGCCCTATGATGCCCCATCTGGTAAAGGTAAACAAAAATTTGCTCAGGGTCAGACAACTAGTGGGGGAGATGCTCCTGCTGGTGTGGTTTGTTTAAAATATGGAAAACTTGGGCATAAGATCAATGTGTGTACTACTGAGGTGAAGATTTGTTTTCGTTGTTGTAAGACGGGACATGCTATATCTGAATGCAAGCATAAGGAGATGATTTGTTTCAACTGTGGTGAAGAAGGACACATTGGTAGTCAATGTCAGAGACCAAAGAAGGTGCAAACCTGTGGAAAATTGATCGCTTTGGTTGAGAATCAGATGGCTAATGAGGACAGACTTATTAGAGGTACATGTTTCATTAATAATACTCATTTAATTACTATTATTGATACCGATGCTACTCATTGCTTTATTGCTACTGATTGTGTTGAAAGATTGAGTCTTAGGTTGTCTTCCATGAATGAAGAGATGGTCATTGATACTCCATCCAAGGGATCGATGACTACTTCTCTTGTGTGTTTAAAGTGCCCATTGTCGATCTTCGACAAGGACTTTGCCGTTGATTTAGTTTGTTTGCCTTTAAGTGGGTTAGATGTGATCATAGGTATGAATTGGTTAGAGCATAACTATGTTCATATATTAATTGTTATGATAAGTCTGTGAGGTTTTCTACTCCTGAAGAGGAGGAAGTTGGTATGTTGTCTGCTAGACAGTTGTGACAGTTGATGCAAGAAGAGGCTCAATTGTTCTCGTTGATGGTGTCGCTATCTGTCGAGAATCAAGCTATAATTAAGGAATTGCAAGTGATGTGTGAATTTCCTGAATTTTTCCCTGATGAAATTCTTGATGTACCTCCAGAGAGAGAAGTTGATCTTGTACCTGGTATCTGACCTATTTCTATGGAACCATACTGGATGTTTGCATCTGAATTGTCTGAATTAAAGAAGCGATTAGAAGAGTTACTTGAGGCTTTGTGTTGATTATAGACAATTGAATAAAGTGAATATTAATAACAAGTATCCGCTTCCAAGAATAGATGACTTGATGGACCAATTGGTGGGTGCTCGAGTGTTTAGTAAGATTGATTTGATCGGGTTATCATCAGATTAAAGTGAAGGATGAAGATATCCAGAAGACGACTTTCAGAATGTGTTATGGACATATGAGTATTCGGTGATGCCTTTTGGTGTTACTGGCGCGCCAGGAGTATTCATGGAGTACGTGAACTGTATCTTTCATA